GTTCGAAACTGGCGCTGGGCTATGCGCTAAGTCGAAACGAAAATGCAAGAAACTTTCGATCCGGACTTTATGCCCTAGTCTTGTGGGCGCCCTAGTGTTCACGGCTGGTCACACAAGTTCTGCATGCTGGCAACATGGTTTTGTGTGTTGACAACCTTAAAAGCACATTAAAATGCTAATTCAAAATCATGCCCAGGAATGGAGTTCTGGAAATCGAAGAACACGAAGTGGCCTACAGTTGGCTCCGGGCATTCAAAATCATGCCCAGGAATGGCGTTCTGGGAACTCGAAGACCACGAAAAGCGTTACTGTTGGCTAAAAAAAGAATCCCCGGTTTTCCCCGGCACCCGTCCGGCATCTGCCCAGACCCCCTCTGGGGAGCCATGATGCTCTCTTTTGACCCCACTGGAAACCCATCAGTCTTCGCTGTCAGGTAAGTACTCAAGAAATACTCAGAAATTCCCCGAATGAGAGGGACAGGCCCGACTTAGCCCTGGGGCCACTTTGGGGCGGAGGAGGAGGAGGAGGAGGAGGAGGAGGAGGAGGAGGAGGAGGAGGAGGAGGAGGAGGACACGGCCGGGTGGGCGGGCCGGGCGAGCAGCGTGCGCGCGCACCATCGGCGGCCGACTGGGGCCGGCACCCTTCGTGGCCCTGCCCGGCCTGCGCGGAGGCAGCGCGGCGTCGTCGTCGTCGTCGTCGTCGTCGTCGTCGTCGTCGTCGTCGTCGTCGTCGTCGTCTTCGTCGTCGTCGTCGTCGTCGTCGTCGTCGTCGTCGTCGTCGTCGTCGTCGTCTTCGCCGTCCTCGTCCGCCTCCGCCGCCGCCGCCGCAGCCGCCGCCGCCGCCGCCGCGCTGCGTCGCCGTGGCCGTGGCCGTGGCCGTGGCCGTCTTCGTCGTCGTCGTCGCCACCGTCGTTCCATGATCCTCAGAGCGTGTGCTAGCGCTCACGCGTGCTTGTCCTCCGGAGCCATTCGATACGACGCAGGTGGTGCACCCTGAGATCCGACGTTGCGAAAAAATGCAGCATCGTGAAAGATCACGAATGAAGCTCTAGACCCCATCTTTCTGCTGCATTTTCCGAGCCGGATCGATTTGTGAAAGTCCCGGAGCCCGGAACTGGGCGAAAACTCTTGGTGTGAGCAAAAATGCAATGCCCAGATCTCAGGGTAGGCTGTGTGCTATCGGTGTGACTTCACTGGATAAGCACACAGTGGACAAGCCCACGTCCCGAAGACCATCGAGCCGCAGACGCCGCCGCCGCCGGCTCTTGCGACTGGTGCCCGCGAGGCCTCTCTCAGAGAGCCGCACAGTGGCACACACGTTCTTGCAGTACGACTCGAGGCTACGATATGCCAGAGGTTCGGCGCCTCACGCGTTAGGACGTGAGGCCGTGGCGACGCCTTCCCATGACACCTCAAACAAAAACCTGCGGTGATACAACATTCAATGATATTCGTATCATGCGTCTGCCCCTGCTGCCTGCACGTGCGAAGCCTACGAAGATATGACATTGGCAAATTCCGTATCCTGCCCCTCTCCGCGGATCTGCTCGTGCGGACGCCCTGCAGGAAAAGAGAAATCCACCTCGGACCCCAACCTGCCTACCCGTGAGAGCTTGACAGTGACTGCAAGCTCCAGCCCCCGCGTCGGAAGCTGTCGCCGACGTCGAAGTCGGCTCGGTCACTACGCATGTTGCGCAAAATCCTCGAGTCAGCTGAACCCACGGATCTCGAAACCGCACTCCCGAGGCAAGGTTGCAGAGGAGGGTGTAAAGACGTGGTGGGTCATACTCCACCAGCCGACTCCCTCCCAACGCGCCTGAAGGGGGGAGGGGGGCCGTGACGTCCTCGCAATCCAATGCCTTTTTGGTTCCTGAAGGGCGACGCCACGTGTGGTACCCCGACTTGCAAAGCTTCACTTGTACCTGACAGCGGCTTTCGTAAACTTCTGCATGTGCCGCAACGCTGCAGTGATGGCCCCAACTTCCATCGAGAAAGCTGTTGCTCCAGAACCAACATAAAAACCAACGCGTCCTCTTCTTCCTCCTCATCATCTTCTGGCCTCCTCCTCTTCTGGCCTCCTCTTCCAGCCTCCTCCTCCTCCTCTTCCGGCCTTCCCCTCCTCCTCCAGCCTCCTCTTCATCCTCCTCCTACTCCTCCTCACCCTCCTCCTCATCTTCCGGCCTCCTCATCCTCCTCTTCTGGCCTCCCCTTCCTCCTCTTCTGGCCTCCTCTTCCAGCCCCGTACTCCTCCTCCTCCTCTTCTGGCCTCCTCCTCTTTCTCCTCATCCTTCTCCTCCTCTGGTTTTCCTCAGTCTGCGTGTTTTCAAACGGTCTGGTCAGATTTGTGTAGTCCCAAAGACTCGGGATGTGGGTCGCCCTGTTCTTGACCACAC